CAGCCTCAGAAGTCCTTCTTCATAATTAAAATTCTACAGAGAATATAAACAGTGATCCTTATAATTCCTATCTTAGTTTTTCTAAAAGAAAAAAAAGCTCATTTGAAAGTCAACTCCTGACCTTGTGGAGGAAAGGAAAGAAAAAAACAGTTTAAAATGCCTGATGAGGAACCTCTTATTCTTATGCAAGTTGTTCCTCCACCCGGGAGAAAGACTTAATCCCTGTCCTTGGGAGTGAGACCTCCTGGCTGGGGGAAGGGAAGGCTTCATGGATACAAGGCAGGGAGTGCTGCCTGCCATTGGGCACCCTTGGTTCATGAACCCCAGCCCTGGCAAGGAGGGGAGGGGAGCGGGTAGCCACTGTTAGCCCTTCTGTTCCAACAAAGGAAGGAAAATGCCCTGGAGACTGAGGCTGAGCTTTTCAACATCCAGGAGTGATGGCGGTAGGGGCATGGTTTCCCTACCCTCAGAAGTCTGAGGACGAAAAGGCTTAGAAATGAGAGAGAAAGTGATTTGGTTTGCATCTCACCCTTTCTCAAGCCCCACCTTGGGTGCTAACCTGTTGTAGGACTTTCTCCTTGTTTCACCTAAAAACGGGGTCCTTGTTACAGGACCATGAGAGATTAGGCTCACAGGATTTTTAAAGGGTGAGAAAAATGGACAAAACGGAAAACAAAGGTAAACAGGGCTCTCAGCAAGGAGAAAGTCCTGGTAGCTAGCTTCCCACCTCATAGATTGAATCCTAGATACCACCCTGGAACTGAGGAGGCCAGGCTCCTCCCTCTGGCAAACAATGTGCACTTCCAGAGGCTCCACCCTACTGCATACTCCTCCCAGAGTGCAGGCCAGTTGGAGGTTCTCTGGGATTTCTTTATACTTGGCTGTCTCATTCTTGAAATCAAGAGTAGGAGGGAGAAAGGGAAGCGCAGTTAGAATAAAGAATAAACAGAAAGAGGAGGAGGAACAATTTCAGCAGCATTTTTCATTTTAAAAATCACTTCATACTATTTTATATTTTTCTTTTGCAAATATATAACTTTGTCAGAACCTCTTTTAGAAGCTTCTAAGTATTGAAAATATCTCTCCCAGTTGTTTTTATTTTAGAGCTAGCTTTTTAAAATTGAGAGCACATGTAAACTAGTCGAGGTATTTTAAAATACACTATTTTGACCATTGTAATTTGGGGTCATCTTTAGTTATTTGTGACCAGTTTTCTAAATGTTAGCATGAAGAGGCACCAAAAGTGTTAAATATAAATACAGCTGGTGTTTATAATGGTGGGTCACTTTTTAAGGAAGAAGTTTAGGTTTTAGAGATATTGTTGTCCATAATTTTCATTTTCCTTCTGAATAACCAGAAACTTAGTGGTACACATAGAGGGTCTTTTGTTGTTTTGGTCACTCAAGAACATTTTAGGACAATTGAACCAAGCTTCAGAATCTAACCAGTTTTTAAAATTACAAGTTTTTCACTTAAGCCACAAAGTGTCACTTCCTCTTTTTAAAGACCAAAGTTTAAACTATAGAAAAGGTTGAAAAACTCCAACTAGTAGTTGGAAATAAAACCTTAACCTCAGAGAAAAATGAAAGTCACAAATTTGAGGTCAACAGATCTCCAGAGAATTACAAATGGAACTCTTACCTTTTAAAGAGCTTCATTCCAACTCCAGCGAGTTAAGAATGTATATGAGTTGAATAAAGTCTTAATCCTCAATCAAGCTGGGAGGATTCAGATCCCAGCAGCGGCATTACCAGAGAATCCTGCAGACTTCGGCAAGGTTGGGTGAAGGACAACCCATCGCATTGGTACCAAGGTGCCGATTGCTGGTAAAGTGTAGTGGGGATTTCTGGAGAGTCCATTTCGGGTCCCATCTGGGGTGCCAAAATATTACTCTTAAATAACTACTTTCAGAACATGTGATTCAGTATAGAGATTCTTCAAGCCTAAAACTTGAGGATGGCTATGGGGAAGCATAGATAGATGCTGCCCTGAATATATACTCTGATTAGCATCAAAGTGGATTTTAAAGAAAAGAAGAGGCAGCTTCTAAGGTATTTACCAATAACTTATATTAAAATAACAAGCTATTGATTAGCTATATATTGTTCTTTGTATCACAGATTCCAGGAACAGGAAGATAATGGGTAAGGCAGCTAGTCAGGAACAAAAATGCCTGTAAACATTGCCCTTGGGCATGGGTACAGAGGAGGGAATGTGTGAATGAAGTCCCATACTCTTGTCTTATTGGGCCTGATAAGTTTTGCATACCTCACCTAGCTCAGTCTGTTCTGAGCTATTTTTCTTCTCTCAGTGATAAGTTTTATTTTACCTTGAGAGGTTTGTATATAGACATAATTCAAATCAGGAAAGCATAGAAAAGAAAAATTAACATTTTGTAATTTCATTTCAGTTGGAACTCTAATCATTTAGTAGAATTTTCTGTTATTTCATATCTCTTTAATTTGCTTTTGGAATTTATGTTCTGTTAATTGCTCTCTCCACATTTTTACTGGCACTGATGCTTTCCAGATGTTTAAAATGTTAACATTGATTACTTTTCCTTTGACTTAGATTTGTGGTATTTTTTACCATAAATTGTTTGGAATATCCTTGTTTAATTTTAGGCAGTTATTTTAGAAACAATACAATGATGATCACTAAAATAATAACATTTATCTAACCAGACTGTTCCTGACTTACCATGGACGTTCTTTGTGTAGTGTAGATGATTTTACTTTTACCCTTTTCTGCTACATTTTGAATATCTCTTTTACCTCTTACTGAGTAGATACTTATTTTCTTGAGAAATCTGATTTTCCTTTTGTTCATCTATTGTTGCCTCTAATAAAACTCTATTTTTTCTCTTTTTTTAGAAAAATTAGATGACAGAATCACTGTAGTCCTTTGGTCTTAAATATTCTAGCACTTTTTAAAATAAATATTTCTGGACACTGGGTATGGTGGCTTATGCCTGTAATCCCAGCACTTCTGGAGGCCAAGGCAGGTGGATCGCGAGGTGAGGAAATCAAGACCATCCTGGCTAACACGCTGAAGCCCTATCTTTGCTAAAAATACAAAAAATTAGCTGGGAGTGGTTGCATATGCCTGTAGTCCCAGCTAATAGGGAGGCTGAGGCAGGAGAATCACTTGAATCTGGGAGGTGGAGGTTTCAGTGAGTCGAGATTGTGTGACTGTTCTCCAGCCTGGGCGGCAGAGCGAGACTCCGTCTTATAAATAAATAAATATTTTAAAACCTAAAATCATGATATAATATCATTAAAACAATCTTTCAAAATCAATTTATCTACCATTGTAATGGAGGTTGATTTCAGTTTTGCATATTCTGTATGCATATGCACATGTATCTTTTAACTAATTGTAATGGAATTATATACTCTTGGTAGTTTATTTTTCGTATGTAAAGCAAAATACTACCTCTACTAATAGGGATCTAAATAAAAACAGAAATGTTACTCACCCACAATTCTTCCACCCCAGCAAAGATATCCCCTTTAATTTTTATATATACATATGCATGATTTGTAAATTATGATTATCTGTACTTAATTTATTTTCTTTCATTATGGATGAGCTTCACTGGGAGTATATAAACTCTTAGAGCTTATTACCTTATATTCTAGCAGTGGCATATTATTCCTTTCTGATTGAGGCTACCCAAATACTTATACCTGCACGGAGCTAGTTGAATACAGGAAGGCAAGGGACATGGCTGGAGTGTGGCTGAGTTTTTTCCTTCTGTGCAGAAGTGGGCAAGGAGTACTGATGCTCCATCTGTTGATAGGTCTCTCCGTTCCTCACTGTGGAACCATTCCTGTTGGTGCCATTGTGAATACTCTTGTAAGAAAATGTTCTTTTCACTCAGAGCATGTCTTATCTACAAATTACCTATCTTTTCAACAGAAGATAATGAGCCTGTTGCCTGAATGTATAGGCCCTTTCTTTCCTTCCTTCTTAATGTTACTATTTGCCTAAACATATAGGCTTCCCAAAACCTTGACTTTAAACTAGCATGTTGGACACAGCAATTTTATGAGGATACAGGCTTTAATTTTCTTTAAAAACAGAAACTTAATTCATGCCAATGTGATTTCCCCCACTAGGTAAATTATAGGTTCCTTTTTGTGCTACATTCTTAGACTATATGATATACATTACTTGAATCCAGGGGCGGATTAATTGTGACCTTGAGATGTTTATAATTTCCGAGTGCTTTTAACAAGAATGAGAGACAGTACTTAGTCTGATGGCTGAAGGTTCAGATATCTTTCTTTCAGTTAGCAGTTGAGAAAGTGCACTAGTCAAGTGAACAATTTTCTGTATACGTTTTGTGGCAAATTATCATGGTTATTGTGTATTTTGTAGCTTTTGAGCAGCTGACTCTGCTAACACGTTGGAGTAGTTTTCAAGGCTGAGAAGTAGAAATGATTTGCTTGTAGTCCAGATAATAAGGCAAGAATATTATCTACCTGGGAGAAAGTCGAGGATTAGGAATTTCAGCATGAAACCTAGCTGAATATTTGTGGAGTGGATGGCCTTGGAGTATGTGAACAGTATCTTCTTTCCTTGAGGGTTTTGGGGGATAATCATTTGAGAAAAAAATTATATGATGAAACATTAGCGTAAGGAATTGTTTGGATTTATGGTCACAAAATTAGACATATTTCTTAACAACTAGAATCTATTGACAAATGGCCCCCACATGAGTATTAGTGATACTGAGTTGTTCGGACCGTATATACATCAGTTAGTTGGACTGAGTGCTGGGACTATTCCATGACATTTCAAGTCTTCTGTATTTATTGTCAAAGATACTTTATTCCCTCTTGTCCCCCCATCAAAAAGTTTTACAAGTAGTAAAGTATGGTACTTCCTATAAAAAAATGGAAATGAGATTAAGTATTGCTTCTTCATTTGTTTAGAATATTTCTTTATCTTTGTGAAAATGACTGAATTTGATGGGTTTTTATTTTTTCTTTTAGGCTCAGTTTATGAACCTCTTAAAAGCATTAATCTTCCAAGACCTGATAATGAAACTCTCTGGGATAAATTGGATCATTATTACAGAATTGGTGAGTAAAACTTGAGGAAAACATGTCCTTAGGTGGCTGCAATTAGTATTTCCTCTGCCCTAGTTAAGTTATGTATGGTATGTGGGTAATATTGTTCTGTCATTGGGATGCTGGGATACTTTGAATGATTAAGCAGCTCTATATTCCAATTGTATATTGATACCAGGACTATAAAAGGAATCTGGCAGATCATATCTGGCCCTTGAATAATTTTAAAATTGTCACCAATATCTTCTGTGTCTTTTAAATCTTCCTAAACATTACCAGATTTGAGACCTTGAGAATGTTTTTTGATTAATACACAAATATTTCACACAGCATTAATTTGCTCATTTACCTAAAAATGGTTTCCATATAGTTCTAAACTTTTTGTATCCATTTCTAATTTGCTAAGGTACAAGAGATAATCACAGGTTAGTATTATTAATATCAGAGCCCTGATTTTTGTTTGTTTTATTTTGTTTTTCCAGGATCAGCCTTGCAAATTTTGTTTTCAATGTAAGCAGCTTTCAGATATGTGTATATGGGACTCCTCTTTGTTTGTCAGACCATATATTAGAATGTCTATTAATCTTTTTGTCCATTTACATTTTATGCTATTTACTTGTACTAGTATGGCTGAAACATAAAATCTGATTTCTCTCCCCTTAAGATAAAAGATTTTTTGGGCCGGGTGCGGTGGCTCAAGCCTGTAATCCCAGTACTTTGGGAGGCCGAGGCGGTTGGATCACGAGGTCAAGAGATCGAGACCATCCTGGTCAACATGGTGAAACCCCGTCTCTACTAAAAATACTAAAAATTAGCTGGGCATGGTGGTGCATGCCTGTAATCCCAGCTACTCAGGAGACTGAGGCAGGAGAATTGCCTGAACCCAGGAGGCGGAGGTTGCGGTGAGCCGAGATCGCGCCATTGCACTCCAGCCTGGGTAACAAGAGTGAAACTCCATCTCAAAAAAAAAAAAAAAAAGATTTTTTTGTCTATTTCAACTTCATATGAAACTTCAATCTCACTTATTTTGGTCAAGATTCTTGCATCCATTAAGTTGCCTGTTTTATTATTTTTTTGGCGATAACTACCTGAAGAGAATTAACCATATATATATATATATATATATATATATATATATATATGTCAGTTGTGTATTTTGGACTTCTAGGACTAATTATTTACACTGGGAAAAACAATAAATACTCTGGTTCTCTAAAAGAATTGATTATGATAAGATCAATTTAGTCTGAGAAAAACAGAAAGAAATTTTAATTCTGTAATCTCTGTGACAGACAGAGTGTTTTTGACCTTTGAAAATCTATCCTAAAAAGTAGATAACATAGCTGGACATGATCTCTCATGCTTTTAATCCTGGCACTTTAGGAGACCAAGATGGGAGATCTTTTGAAACCAAGAGTTTGAGACCAGCCTGGGCAACGTAACAAGCCCTCCATCTCTACAAAAAGTTTAAAAATTAGCCTGGCATGGTGGCAAGTGCCTGTAGACGCAGCTACTTAGAAGATTAAGTTGGGAGAATCACTGAAGCCCAGGGGTTAGAGGCTGCAGTGAGCTTATGATCATGCCACTGCACTCCAGCCTGGGTTATAGAGCGAGACCCTGTCTCAAACCAAAAAAGTAGTTGCCAATCTAGATAAGGTTAATGTAATGTATTTTAGGAAAAATGTTACCCATCCATTTATAGTTAGATAATAAAATAGCTCTTTGTAAATGTAATTTTAGTGTATGTGTTTTCCTATTTTAGAGCTCATTTATAAAAGATAATAAAACATTAATTTCAGACTTATTTAAGTAAAACATTCACAAAAAATTATTTACTTGCTTCTGTGTTCATATTATATATGGATGGAATTCCATTTTAAAATGTTAAACATTCTCCTAACCTCTGTAAAGTAAAATAAATACCGTACACTCCTCTGAAGACCAGGAACAATTTAGTCATCGGTGAAACCCAGGATTCTGGCCTGTTCTGTGATCTTCCCCTCGCCCTTCCTACGTTGTTGATCATTTACTGTAGCAGTTGAGGAACTTTGTGATTTCGCAAATGTATGCCACTCTTTCCTGTGCATTTGCTTTAAGTTTCCCTGTTGAATTGATTTTTAAAAAATATTATACTTGGTGTTTTGGTTTATCTTTTTTTCCCTCTGTACCTGATGATGTCCTAATAAGACTTCTAACACAAATTGACATTACCAGGGAAGTGCTAAAAGCTTTTTAAGTCCTAATTAGCTGAATCCTTTCCTAAAATCTGGAAAGACTTCTTTATGTAGGGTGGATTCCCGCCAAGGCTGGAGTAACATGAAGTTGTTTCCACATCTTCAGAAGTTTTATACTATAGCAAGTTTAGAAACAAAATCGTCAGAAGTGAGATGAGGAAATCAAAGAAGATTAAAACATTTAGACCAAGAAAAGTCACTGGCTGTACAATTCATTCTTTGTCTTGCCTTCAATTGCAGTCAAGTCAACATTGCTGCTATATCAAAGTCCAACTACAGGTCTCTTTCCCACTAAAACATGCGGTGGTGACCAGAAGGCCAAGATCCAGGACAGCCTATACTGTGCTGCCGGGGCCTGGGCTTTGGCTCTTGCATACAGGTGAGCTGGTGTATGTTCTCCTAGCAATTTCGAGGGTGGATACAGGTTTTTGTAGGACCAAGACTAACTGAGCAGCTATCTTTTGGCTCTGCTGCTGACTCACTCTGTGACTTATGACTGCTCACATCCCTTTTTAGGCCTCTAAACCTTTTCACTTTCTTTTCTTTTTTTTTTTTTTGACACAAGGTTCCCCAGGCCAGAGTACAGTGGCACAACCTTGGCTCACTGGAACCTCTTCCCCTTGGGTTTAAGCAATTCTCCTCCTCAGCCTCCCTAGTAGCTGGGATGGCAGGTGTGCACTACCACACCTGGCTAATTTTTGTACTTTTGGTAGAGACAGGGTTTTACCATGTTGGCCAGGCTGGTCTGGAACTCCTGACCTCAAGTGATCTGCCAGCCTCTGACTCCCGAAGTGTTGGGATTACACGTGTGAGCCACCATGCCTGACCTAAACTTTTTCATTTTTCTAAGAGTTTACATCAGACCAGTTCTAAGACTTTGTGACTCTGTGACTAAAACTTTTTGTCTCTAGGTTTCTAAATCAGCATTAGTCATTAGTAGAATGAACTACCTACCCACTCTCATTGACTTGATTGGTTTCAGTCATGGAGAGAACTGATGATGACTAAAATTTGCAAATGATAAAATGAGAGCCCAGAGTACTAACAAATTTTTTGAAATGATGTAACTAGTTAATGATAGAAACAGGGTCAGAATTCTTTTCCCCTACTCAGTTTCCTGGTTTTATCACTGCATTTCAGTGAAGTATCTGTTATTAGTTCTGGTTATAAGTGAAATAATTGTATAAAGTAAAAAAAAATAGTTTAACAATACAAAATTTCTTTTATTTATTTCACATGTAGAAAGCACTGAATGTGGATGCTAACACATAGTCAGTGGTAATACATTTTAACCATAATTAACATTAGGAAGATTAACTTTTTGAATATTAATTTTCTGAAAGTGACCCATATGTATGTTTCTGATTTAAAAATTGTATCTTCTGCATGAACATGATTTATCTGTTTGAAATCATTGATGTGTTGGATTTTAAAAAGAAAGAAAACACTGAGATACTATGAAGTAGTCTTATTTAAGTACACTTGAATGCTGATATCACTAAAAGCATTTCCTTACATATTCTAGGTAAGGACAATGTAGCTTTATTAAATGTAAAACTGCTACTCATCTTAGGAGTACAGGGAGCATCAGTAGCACCTTCACCAATTGGTGAAGCCAGTAATGAGACATACTGATGTTAGTTGCCATTCCTGATTTGACACAATGGGAAGTACAACTTGTGCTAACATCTTACCAAGTTATCTTTTTTTTTAAAAGATAGGGTTTCACTGTGTTGGTCAGGCTGGTCGTGAACTCCCAACCTCAGGTGATCCGCCCGCCTTGGCCTCCAAAGTGCTTGGATTATAGGCGTGAGCCACCGCATTCAGCCATCTTACCAAGTTATCTAATATGAGTCTACATATGAACAAGAAATCAGACAAAGCTGAATTGTGACTATTTATAAGACAACTTGCCTGCACTCTTTAAAAATGTCAGTATTACAGATGACTAGATTAAAAGAGACTAAACAGATACCACAGCTAAATACAATAGCATTTGTTAGCATTTTTTAAATGTAATACATGCTCCTTAATTGGATCACACATTTTTAAAAATGCTATAAAGTACGTTTTCGGGATACTTCAAAAAATTTGAGCCAAGACTAAGTATTAGATCGTATAGTGTCAATATTAAATTCCTGAGGTATAATAATGGTATTCTGGTTATGTAGGCAACTCTCCTTGTTTTCTAGAGAGACCTCTGAATTGTGTAGAAGTGAAGGCTCATGATGTTTGTAGCTTACTTTCAAACAGTGAAGAAAATATTATAGTTAGAGAATGCAAGCTAATGTTAACAATAGTTAATCTAAGTGAAGAGTTAAAGGCCTATTATAATATCCTTTTAACTTTTTTGTAGATTTGAAATTTTTCTAAATAAAATGTTTACAGGAAAATTGCTTTAGCAAATACAAGAGTACACGCAGCATATGGACAACAGTCAGATATTAACCTTTTCCCAAAATGCTTCTAACATCAGATAGAGACTTTAAAGTCCTTTGCCAGACACACCATCTATGTAGAATCTGCCTCTATTAAAACACTTATGTTCGACATCAAGGAGAAAAGTACTGTATAGAGCAAATTCATGCTAATTTTTGTACAATGCTAGCATGCAAAAGAAGGTATGATGTGCTAATGATGAATAAGTTAGTTTTAACTGACATACACTATACTATGTCAAAATAATAATCATTCTTCCCAATAGTGAATGGTATATGCAGTCTGTGACTGAAGTGGGAGGTAATTATAGTATACTTTTTAAGGAGAGAGGTGATATTTTTTAATCATGTGAGAATGATCACCAGATATTTCAGTTAAGATTAAGTGAAACAATAAATAAGTCACTTTTGTTTTTTAGTGGTGGGCGACTCTCATCCATCTTTGGAAAACTGATCTATAATAAAAAACAACTTGTGGACAGAAGGAACATCTTAACATAGTTTGATAGTTAGATTTTACCTGTTTTTTATTTTTAAAAGCAAGAGATGTAAAATATGGTCAATTGATTTTAAATTAAAACCAGAGAATATAAAACTTTATGCCAAAATACATCATGTGTCATCCTGGATGTTGTTTAGTTGAAGGCATCCTTAATTATGACTAAATGCCTTCCCTGAAAGTATTAAACACACTGCAGAGCAAAGAAAGGCAGCACCTACCTTAACTTGTGGTTGCTACTTAAATCCAAATGGCCATTGCATAACCTACAGGGATAGGTAATAAAAATTACATTTATTTTGTAACGGTGAATTTAAAACAATCTGTTGGTGGATTTTTTTTCCAATAGAAATATCCTTTAAAATTTCAGCCAAATCACTGTAGAAATAATGTATACTATTTTTAAAAGAAGTTGGCTTACATCCTTGAAAGAAGGAAAAATCTACCTAAGTTTCATCATAGGATTTTTTTTTAATTGCAACATTTCTACTTTTGCTGAGAAAACGGAGTTTCACTGTGACAGAATTGGTAGATGTCACCAGAACACAGGATTAGCCAGATAGTTAAATACTTAATTATCAAAAGCTCTGCTTCTTTTTCAAATGCATTTCCAATTTGTTTCATGAGTTATCTCTCTCACCCAGGCGCATTGATGATGACAAGGGAAGGACCCATGAGCTGGAGCACTCAGCTATAAAATGCATGAGAGGAATTCTCTACTGCTATATGCGTCAGGCCGATAAGGTAAAACACTGTGGTGTGGACGGGAATTCTCCCATCATTCTGAAGGATTAATTTAACTAGTATAGCAATGGCATCTTCTGAAGAAGAATGTACTTTACAAAGGGACAGCCACATCCTAGGGCGGCCTAGATAGGTTAAAACAGCCTCTGCCTTTCTAGCCCAGGGTTTGAAATCCTGAAATAGAAGGAACACCGTAAGCAAGAGGTGATTGAGAATTGTTATTTAGACTTGGATTTGTTTGTATTTTGCATCTGGTGTTGCTTGATAAAGACCCAGTTTCTCAGGAACCTCACAATATCCATAATTTTAACCAATATTTTATTAGTTAAAGAAAATCCTTATCAGAATTACTTTTGGACATGTGAATTGCTCTGACCTAAGTGAACTTTAGTTTAAAACTAACAACACTTGGCCGGGTGTGGTGGTTCACGCCTACAATCCCAGCACTTTGGGAGGCTGAAGCGGGTGGATCACGAGGTCAAGAGATTGAGACCATCCTGGCTAACATGGTGAAGACCATCCTGTACAACATGGTGAAACCCCATCTCTTCTAAAAATACAAAAATTAGCCTGGCATGGTGACATGTGCCTGTGGTCCCAGCTACTTGGGAGGCTGAGGCAGAAGAATCGCTTGAGCCTAGGAGCTGGAGCTTGTAGTGAGCCGAGATTGCACCGTGTTACTCCAGCCTGGCAACAGAGCAAGACTCCATCTCAAATATATATATATATATATATATATATATATATATATATATATGTAACACTTTATTTGTATACAAAGAGCTTGGAAAACAGTTTTACAGGGTTATGTGGAAATTAAAAAAAATTATATACATAACAACATTTTAAAAACTATAAAGCTTTATACAAATATAATGTGCTATTCCCTTACTTACCTACATCTCTGTGATCCCAGTTCCTAATATAGTAAGTGCCTATATGTGTACATCAATGCATCATGGGTCCCTAAGACCATCTAGAGGTTTGATGCTTCACTAGGAGAACTCACATGACTCAACAGATGGTCTTAGTCATGGCTATGGTTTATTACAGGGAGAGGAGACAAAGCATAATCAGCAAAGGTACATGGAAGGAGAGGAGACAAGGCATAATCAGCAAAGGTACACTGGAGGAAGCCAGATGCCAGCATCTAGGAGTCTTCCCCAGTGGGGTCACACAGATACACATCATTCCCCCAGCAAATGATTATGACTAAGTGTAACGTTTAAAATGTCTATCAGGGAAGTTCAATAGCAACTTGAGGTTTATGTAGCCCAAGGTTTTCATTGGTGGTTGGTCATGTAGGTATCCTCTATCTAGCACTCAACCAAAGTTCCAGATATCTACAAGGAAACCAGATGTGTCGTATCAACCACACTGTTAATGTAAACCCTTTAGGTATAGTGAGCCACTCTTCTGAGGGAATAGTGGAAACATTTTCATAATCTGAGTGGCCACATACCAGCCAAGGGCCAATCTTACAAACAGTTCTTTCTGTAGTTGGCAGTTTCTGGCCTACTATATTAACTCATTTCAGGACAATCAGCATAAACGAATGCACTGGTTTCCAGGCTGTTCCCAGCTGTGTGATGTTGGACAAGTTATTTAATTTCCATGTGCCTCTGTTTCTTTCATCTGTTAAATATGGAAACCAGTAATACCTCCCTTATTAGGTTTTGTAAGGATTAAGAAATAACGCACCTGTGCGAGTCAGTGTTTGTGAGGAAGTTAACTTGGTGCAATGAAGGTGAAGGCTGGTGCACTCACTGGCTGAGGTGGGATTCTCAGCCCCCAGTCTGCTGAAGGTGCACCACCCACACATCTCACCGGGTCAGTACTGGGTAGGGGAAGCACCAGAACACATGTTGGGACCTGAAAGATGGTGACCTATGCCTGGGTCAGGGTGAAGCCGGAGGAATCTAGTGGAGGCCTGTAGTGGTCCTGACATGTGAATCAATTGGACATCCGAACTGGGCATAGGGGCAAAAGACTGATGGAACCATCTAGTAGCTTGTTCCCTCTGAGGTTTCCCTCAGAATGGCTTGTGCCAGGATGGCTGGCACACTCCGAAAACCCACCCCATGTGGTTTCATCTGGTAAAGCAAATGGTTGGAGGTTTTAGTATCCAAAGGATCTCTACCTATTGTCACACTTTAAATGGGAAAGAAGCCCAGCTTGCTGGCACATGGAGCCAGGTGTGGAATGTAAGTGCCTAGTGGGCCACTTCTGGTAAGCAGACCTTGCACTGCAGGATGAACCAAATGCCAGGTTAAGGTGCCCAATGCCCACACACAAATCAGACCCCAGAAAAGGTGTACAGCAGGAGGGTGGCCATGGAAATTGAAGGGGTGGAGGTTGGGGGAGGCAGAGAATGTGTAGAGAGTACATGGTGTCTCCCTGCGTACCACCCTGAACACCTGATCTCGTCTGATCTCAGAAGCTAAGCAGAGTCGGACCTAGTCAGTACTCAGGTGAAAGAGAGCACATGGCACAAGGGCTGGTGCCAGGTGAACGTACAGTCAATATTTGTGTCATTATCATTAGTAATATTCCCTCTCCCTTCTAGACCACATGTTTTAGATGCATTCTTAACTTCTATATTTTAGCAGAGATGCACACAAGTAACTATGAAGGCAGTTTTGATCACTTAATATTTTGTTTTTTTTTTTTAATCATACAAACATATTGTTTTAATTTACACTTGAAAATAGTAGGCCAGGCATGGTGGCTCACACCTAAAATCGCAGCACTTTGAGAGGCTGAGATGGGCAGATTGCTTGAAACCTGGAGTTTGAGACGAGGCTGGCCAACATCGTAAAACCCCGTCTCTCACTTAAAATATAAAAATTAGCCAGGTTTGGTGGTGGACACCCATAATACCAGCTGCTCAGGAGGTTGAGGCACAAGAATCACTTGAACCCTGGAGGAGGAGGTTGCAGTGAGCCGAGATCACTCCATTGCTTTCCAGCATGGGCAGCAGAGGGGAAACTCTGTCTGGAAGAAAACAAAAGAATTAAAAAAAGTGATAGCACATTTTCTCCTTAAGGCCTGTATTTCAAGTCAAACTGTAAAAAAAAAAAAAAAAAATCATTACCATTCTGCCACCAGAACATGGTAACAAGAAACTGTTATAGAGAAAAAGTATATTTACTCATAAGCTAATAATAGAGACACATGAAGAACTTGTAGTTTGTCTACCGAGATTTGACTTTACAAATCAGTAATGCAAAGGTTTTTCAGATGCTCGAAATAAAGTAGTATGTCACAGATTGACATACTGGAATTAAAAGAGTGTGTCATATGTTATATTGATATAATTGTGATTTAAGTTAATTTTTTCCTAAGTATGAGATGTTATTGTTTTTTTTCATTTGTATTATTACGTGAATGCATAATGTCTTTATGAATTCAACTTTTCTCTTTATGATGCATTGTGAAAATCATGGATTTCATGGTTTGCCAAACAAGTTGACAGAGTAAAATTATCAAAAGGAAGTCTAATAATGTATTAGCTTAAGACAGGGATGTCCAAACTTTTGGCTTCCCAGGGCTACATGGGAAGAAGAATTGTCTTGGACCACCCATAAAATACACTAACACCAACTGTAGCTGATGAACTAAAAAAACAAAACATAATTCTCAGCAAACTGACACAAGAACAGAAAACCAAACACTGTATGTTATCACTCATAGGCGGATGCTGAACAATTAGAACACATGGACACAGGGAGGGGAACATCACACACATGCGATCAGTAGGGGGCAGCTAGGGGAGGGACAGCGGGGTGGGGAGGGTGGGGAGGGATAATGAGGGGAGAAATACCAGATACAGCTGATGGGGGGATGAAGGCAGCAAACCACCTTGCCATGTATGTACCTATGCAATAATCCTGCATGATCTGCACATGTACCCCAGAACCTAAAGTACAAATAAAAAAAAAAAAGAAAAAGTGAATAATTATTAGGAAAACAAAACATTCTTTGTATCACTGTTTTGCACAGATAGTCTCTAATATAATAAATTATTTATTTCCAGAAAAAGAATTGCAAAAAATTTCTTAAAATGTTTTAAGAAAGTTTAAAAATTTGTGCTGAGCTGCATTCAGAGCTGTTATGGACTATGGCTTGGACAAGCTTGGATTAAAGTTTTATCCTTGCGGCATGGTTAACCATTTGATTTTTATTGTTGTTTGGTTGGCTTTTTGAGACAGGGTCTCTCTCTGTCTCCCAGGCTGGAAAGCAATGGTGTAATCACAGCTCACTGCCTGTCTTGACCTCCCAGGCTCAGTCAATTCTCCCACCTCAGCCTCCTAAGTAGCTGGGGCTACAGGCGTGCACCAACACACCCAGCTAATTTTTGTATTTTTTTTGTAGAGACAGGGTTTCTCTGTTTCCACAAGCTGATACTGAACTCCCGGGCTCAAGCAATTTTTCCTCCTAACTCTCCCAAAATGCAAGGATTACAGGCGTGAGCCACTGTGCCCCACCAACTCAAGCTCTCTTAAATTCCTTAAATTATAAAGGATTATCTTTTTTTTTTTTTTTTTTTTTTCTATGTAGCTATGATGTAGATCATTAGCGCTTGGCCATTAGCCAATTGTTAATGGCCTTTTCTGAGTTTCTTACTTAACCTTACTAACCAGTCATCACAATTGTAATATGTTTTCTTTTAATACAGTTTGAGTGTGACCTAAGGTTGTTTTTGTTTTTAATTTTAAAAATAAAGGGCCAGGCACAATGGCTCATACATGTAATCCTAGCACTTTGGGAGGCCGAGGTGGGCAGATTGCTGAGCTCAGGAGTTCGAGACCAGCCTGGGCAACATGATGAAACCCTGCCTCAACTAAAATACAAAAAAAAAAAAAAAAAATTAGCTGGGTGTGGTGGTGGGTGCCTGTAGTCCCAGCTACTCGAGGGGCTGAGGCAGGAGAATTGCTCGAACCCGGGAGATGGAAGTTGCAGTGAGGCAAGATTGAGCCACTGCACTCCAGCCTGGGTGACAGAATGAGACTCTGTCTCCAAAATTAAAAAAAAAGTAGAGACAGGGTCTCACTATATTGCCCAAGCTGGTCTTAAACTCCTGGGCTCAACAATCCTCCTCCTTGGCCTCTCAAAGTGCTAGGATTACATGCATGAGGCACCATGCCTGGCTGAGTTATCTTAAATTCTTTAAATTATAAAGAATCCTGTGTACCTATGATATAGACCATTAATGTAAACGTGAATTGTAAGTATTCTAGTGCATATGAGTGTGAGGGACTGACTCAGGGAGACTGAAGCATGAACTCAGCTCAAAGCCTTCCACCATACTTCACACCTTATTGGTGTCTGCCTTTCTTTTCCTCCAGTCTTGGCCATTTCCTTTATAATACTGTTGCAAGAGGGAATATGAACATATCATAAAATGTGAAATATTTCTCTCTTGGTTGTCCCTTAAAACTAAAGCAAAGCACATTTGTATTGTTCATTCACTGTTTGCCCTCTAGCCTCATGTTCTTTGTCTTTTGAAGTAAAATCATGACCTAGACAGTCTCCCTTCTCCACTTCTATTGATTTCTCATCATAAAACACACTTCCTGATGTATTTTCTAAAAATACTAGCTAAGAGATATTTTAAGTTTATTATGAATTTGAGTGAATACGTAGACTTTCCTCGACTTATTTACAGAATTTAGAGCAGTCTGTTTTCTGTGTTTTATTGCCTTGACACTTACCTTAATGCCTGCGTATTAGTGTCAGCTATGTTTTACCTTTTAGTGTGCACATACCTATTCTCTTATTTATTCTCTTTTATAATTCTGCTTACAGAGAGGCATTCAGTTTTTCAGAGCTGATTCAATCTGCAGTTAGTTTGGAGAGTAGACATTTGCTTTATAATAGGCTATAAATTTTGCTGTATCTAATTACTTAATTTTTTTTGTTTAAAATGCTAGTTTCTAATTAATGAGAAATCATTAAAATTTTATAAAATTTATTTTTCCAGGATTCCCTTATGAGAAGATTTTTTTTTCCTTTAAATGCATGTTTTAAGGCTATAAGTTAAAAATGGATGACAAAATACTCAATTACCTTTTCCCAAATGATAAACTGTTTATTCCCAATTATAAAAGTTTTCACAAAAAATCTAAGCAAAATACAAGTGGAAGAGGCATTATTCTAGATTTATTTTAGTCTAGAAAATTTTGCTTTAATTATTATCTTTATTTTTACTTGCCAGATGCCAGAGTCATATAAAATACTAATTAGCATCCTCTTGTTTTTGACTTCTTTCGAGAGAACTTTTTCTTTGTAATTGACATACAGCATGCCCCATTAATCTTCAGAGCTTATACTTTGGACCTAATTTTTTTCTGAAAATTAAATTACTTGTCTTTTAATGGCTTTAAAACTCAAAATGTACTTATATAATCCCCCATTTGAGCATCTTTAATCATTTAGCAGTTGCTTTCCCCCGACATAGTGATTGAATATAAATTGTCTTACTGGATCCTTGCATATCTTCAAGACAAATGACAAACACTACCTTGTTAACTGCAGCAGTTACTTTATTAAAGTGATAAAACCTTATCCTTTTAGGTCTATATCAAGTGGTTTAAATGTGTTTTGCTTCAACTTTACCTATTTTTGTAAAGGAGCTCAGAATAATATTCAGGACTTTGAGACAATAAAAGAGTGACCACATGGATTTCTGTTTGTGTAGGTTGCTAATACCGCCAGCAGTTTCAGATATTGTGAAGGGATAGCTGTCTTCTCTGAACACCTGATGGCTTCATCAGTTTATCAATAAAGAATATACATGCCTAACTGTACCCACTTTTGAGATCCTGATATCCTGATTACGTACTGATAGGTTCAGACTTTTATTTTGTTGATTAGGTTCTTTATAGGGAGGGCCATATTTGTTTGTGTAGAGCTATTGAAGATAGTAAATATGTAACATCTCTCTAGAACAATATTGCCCAGTAGAACTTTTTATGATGATAGAAATTTTCCTTATTACTTTTGAGCAATGTGGTACCCAATAGAACTTTTTATGATGATAGAAATGTTCCATATTACTTTTGAGCAATACAGTACCCATAGTGACACATGGCTATTGATTTCATGAAATGTGGTCATTGTGACTGAGGAGCTTAATTTTTAAATTTATTTAATTTTAATTAATAGTAATTTAATTTTAATTAGTCCATGTAGCTAATGGTTACCATGTTGGACAGCATAGCTTCTGGAAGCTTACAAGATAGTGGGACTCTACAGGAAAACTTTGTCTACTCTCAACACTTCTGACACCAAATGTATGTATTTTCCACACCAAGCAGTTTCTCAAATTTGAGACACCAACCTGGGTATTATACAGCTTATTGCAATTCTTTCAGTAGTGACCTGGAGTTAAAACAGATCTTATAGGTTAAGACTCAGTCCCACAAGACTACCCCTGACTTCAGATACCAATTATAAGTAGTGGATGCCCAGGTTACCCACAATTCTCTCTGAGCTGGCTACAGTAATTCTTCCGCTTCAATAATTTGTCTTCAACAGCTCACAGAACTTGGGAGACACTTTATTTACTATTACCAGTTTGTTTTTAAGGATATAAACTGTTACATGTAAATTTTGGTGCCACAAAACAAGTAGCACTTGAATAAAAATTTTCTCTCAGCAAGGCAGTTTACTTTCTGCAGAAAGGGTACACTCGCCAGCAGTTTGCCATGAGAGTAAACTGAACAAAGGACACAGCGCAATTTATATCTAATGCATCCGCTTTACTACTGTGTTCTGATTCCATCGGCTGGAACTGGACCTTCCAGGCTAGTCTGCACCCAGTTGGCTAACAGCTTAAAACTTTCCTAAATAGGTAAAGGCAGAGGAGAACAAAGGAAAAAAGGAAGTAACTTGAGGAAGTCTTAGAGAGGCAAAACTACTTCCAAATAAGGAAGAGGAATAAGCTATGATCTAAGACTTGCCTGGGCTTGTATAAGCATGTCAGGGCAAATATCTAGATTGAAGTGTAAAAACTAAGAACACTGGATATGCTTATTTCTTTAGTATGACTAACAGCTATTCAGGAGTATTAGCAAAAGGTCTAGAGTAAATTAACTTTTAAAGAAGCTATTAGTTACAATGAACTGAGAGGAAAACTTTGAAGAGGATCTTTTATTTATTTTTATTTTCTACATAATCAAACACCAGATAAAGTGGTAGAAGGTGCAGAAGGTCCCAGGCACAGGAGCATTTGTCCCTGTGGAGTCTGGGGTGCACCACCCTCCAGGCATGCAGATGTGTTCAGTGACCCAGAAGCCCTCCAGACACCATCATCTAGGGTTCTTATAGCAATCATGTGATATAGGCATGATTGATTAAATCACTGGCTATTGGTGATTGACTTACTTGCCAGCTTTCCCTTTCTACACTTCCCCTGAAGTAAGGTGTGGGAGTAAGGAGCTGAAAGTTCCAACCCACTAATCACTTGGTTGGTTCCTCTGTCAATCAGTCCCCCATCTAGAAGCTGTCCAGGGACCTATCAAGAGTCACATTATTAGCAAAAATTCATGTATGGTTGAAAAAGACTTAGAGGAACAAAAGATGTTCTTTTTGCCCTTGTTGCTCAATAAATTCTAAGGGTTCTTGGAGCCCTGTGCCCAGAACTAGGAAGGTGGACCAAATGTGTATTATATAATATCACAGGAAGATACACACAACTGGTAAAAGTACAAAACAGGAAAAACAATTGAGTGACAACTACACTGATGGGGGAGCCCAGAAGAAGGAATTTTGGTGAGGTTCAAAACATAGAAGATTTTTTTAAGATAGTATTTTAAGGATAGGAGAATTTTTAAAGATGGAGAAGAAAACACGGTTCTATATAGTTTTATAGTGAACTGAAACAAGGCAAGATTGCAACCACTTAGGTATTATCATCATTTATGTCTTATTTCTCTTTAAAAGAGAAGTAAATCATTGCCTTTACCTAGAGCTACATATCTTTCAATTCATTTTGGGTTTTGCTCCTATTTATCTCAGACTCCCAGGAATTAGCACAGCATTTGTCACATAATTGGCATCCGTACATGTTGAATTGAACAGGCCCTGAAGAGGCAGGTGGGTTTTTTGGTCCCCAGAGTTTTTCTGTTGGGTTATTTTGGTATTTACTTATTTTAAAATGGTAAAATTTAATGTCTAGCTAATAAATAATGGTATGGCCTGTGTTCTCTTAGAATTAGTGACTTAGTAATGAGAGTACAGTATATGTGGAAGGGGAAATGAAAGCATGTTAACAGTAGCATACATTAAAATTTGTGAGCCTTAGAGAAAGAAATCATATTTGAATTTTGAACACTTACTGAACTAGAATTGGCCTGCAATACTTTTTCATTATGAGTGTCATATAGGCATTTCCAAACAGCATACTATAATGCAATCACTGAAATCCTGTCTCACAACATAAAGCAAAATTTTACTCTAAAATAAAATAAGATGCAAAACACTGCAAAAGCCATTGCTACTACATTAATCTGCTCCATACTACACCTGAGTTGCTATGCATGTAAAACATCAATTGAGAATCATGTTAACTCTGTTAAGTTAGACGTTAACGAACTTTTTGTATTCTTTCTTTAGAAAAAATACCATTTCTGCTTTGTTCCGTCCTCTGCCTTAGCTTTGTTCATTGAAAAGTGTCATGAGAAATAGTTTATAATCTATAGTCTTGGGTGAGTTTGTGAATTACAGATGTTGTTTAACTTTTTTATTTCATCCTAGGTCCAGCAGTTTAAGCAGGATCCACGCCCAACAACATGTCTTCACTCTGTTTTCAATGTGCATACAGGAGATGAATTGCTCTCCTATGAGGAATATGGTCATCTTCAGGTAACAAGAGCTTATAAATTTTATTCTCCTTGTATTCTATAGCATAAAACAGTGATCCCCAACCTTTTTGGCAACAGGGACCAGTTTTGTGGAAAACAATTTTTCCACAGATGGCAGAGGGGCTGGATGGTTTTGGGATGAAACTGTTCCACCTCAGATCATTAGGCATTAGATTCTCAAAATTCATGGCCGGGGGCGGTGCCTCATGCCTGTAATCCCAGCACTTTGGGAGGCCAAGGCGGGTGGATCACAAGGTCAAGAGATCGAGACCATCCTGGTCAACATAGTGAAACCCCGTCTCTACTAAAAAGACCAAAAAAAAAAAAAAAATTAGCTGGGCATGGTGGCACGTGCCTGTAATCCCAGCTACTCAGGAGGCTGAGGCAGGAGAATTGCCTGAACCCAGGAGGCAGAGTTTGTGGTGAGCTGAGATCGCGCCATTGCATTCCAGCCTGGGTAACAAGAGCGAAACTCCGTCTCAAAAAAAAAAAAAAAAAAAAAGAAGATTTGAGGCTATTTAAAAGTAATTTTTTAATTAGATTTTATAAATTGTTCAAAATAGAGGTATAAAATCAACCCTGCAATGGAGAAGAAAGTGAAATGCCAGCCACCAGGGCTGAGTTAATTGCTGCGATTGAACATTAAATCCAACTGAATTCTTGGTCCTCAAGCAAAAAGGGTAAATGGATAGATTACAATATTATTTCTGTACAAAAGAAGGAAGCCTACAATTCTTTTGGTGATAAAAGTGTGTATATGTTGTTAAATTTAGAAGAATTTCAACATTTAGGAACTAGGGGAAAAAGACAATTGACAGTGGTATAGTAGCAAATTAGTTTTGTTACATAGCTGTTCATTTCTTTTTTTTTTTTTTTTTTTTTTTGAGATGGCGTCTCATCTCACTCTGTCACCCAGGCTGGAGTGCAGTGGTACAATCTCAGCTCACTGCAACCCTGCCTCCTGGGTTCAAGCTATTTCTCCCGCCTCAGCCTCCTGAGTAGCTGGGACTACAGGTGCATGCCACCACGCCTGGCTAATTTTTGTATTTTTAGAAGAGAGGGGGTTTCACCGTGTTAGCCACGATGGTCTCTATCTCCTGATATTGTGATCCACCCACCTCAGCCTCCCAAAGTGCTGGGATTATAGGCGTGAGCTGCCATGCCCAACTAGCAGTTCATTTCTTAATGTATCAGTCTTCAATAAAGCTAAAAAATGCCACTGAAATGTAATTCCAAAAGGTATTTCTGATGTTCATAAATTTTGTCTTATATAATAAATTTTATACCTATGATTAGAACACACTATGAGGTTTATATTTTGTTTTCATTTTTTCCCCCTCTCACATCTGTGTATTGTTTTTAGCTGGACATTTTGTTATCTTATTTCTAGGATACAAATATATTCTATTTATCTTTAATCAATTTTCTGCTCGTGATTTGATTCTCTGTCTTTGGGATAGAATACTTACTATTCATATATTCCTTACTAAATTGAGAGTATATCCTTTTTATAGTCCCTCTCTAGAGATCTCAAATGTCTTACTTTAGTATGTCTTCTCTAAACACAGAAAGTGCAGTGTTCTCATTTCTATGCAGCAGAAACTCTTGTACTTATTTGTAAACAGTTCCTTGGAGAATTAGTGTTATATGAATACATAGTTTCTCAACCTTAATCTTATGACTATAACAGAATCAGATTTTATGTGCTTTGCCTTGATAAATATGTCTACTATCAGATATAGGGTTTTTCAGAAGATAACAGCTCATTTATTTTTGTATCCCAGAATTCAGCTCAACGCTTTGCACGTAATTGGCCTTAGATAAATTTCGGTCAACCTGTTATGTGGCAGGCCACTTACAACTTGCCATGTACTGACATTTTCTCACAGAAGCATCGCAAAAGTCAGAGCAGAGAGCTCTTAGAGGTGTTCCTGTAAAAGGCTGCACATAGGAATGAAATTTCTTTGAAGTCATTTTTGACAGGCTAGTGTCAGTGTTGTAAGAGAACATCTGGGGGAGCCTGGCGGTGGGATGAAACCCTTCTCACCATGCAGCCATGTTTTAAGAATAGTCACTAAAAACTTAGTGTAAGTCTAAAAAAACCAAAACCAGAACACTGCATCTTTCTGTGTGGCCCATCTGGGCCATGACAAAACCCTGACACCCAATGGACTCTGAGCGCCAGGAAGTCAGGAGACATCCAGGATCAGCCTGGTTCCTGAGCAGACCTCCACCTGTGGCAGGTCCTGGGCTGCTTTGCCCAAGGCTTCCAGGTCACCAATAATTTTCTGCCCCAATTTTCCATCTGTCACTCAGTTGGGCTGGAGGAGAGTCATGGGAGACATAGCCACTCTGCCTATTAGAGGGTAATAATCTATGTTAGAATTCTGTGGGAACAAAATCACACCTTGCTTTCTCTTTGTTTTTAACTCAGGTTTACAGTTTCCTGGCTGAGTGAAGTTTTTCACTGCCTTTTTTTCCTTATTATTTAATAACAGTTTTATTGAAAGATAATTCACGTAACATGTAATCCACCTATTTAAAATATATGATTTGATGGGTTTTAGTACATTCAAAGTTTTTCAACCATTATCACTACCAATTTTAGAACATTGTCATCACTCCACAAAGAAACCTGTACCCATTAGGGTGCAAAAAAAAAAAACCCTTGTATTCCATGTATTCTCCAAAACCCCCCAGCTCTAGGCAGCAACTAGTCTTTCTGTCCCTGTGGATTTGCCTCCTCTTGGCATTTCATATACATGGAATCATATAATTCAAGATCTTTTTGTGATTGGCTTTTTAAATTTAGAGTATGTTTTCAAGGTGTGTTGGTCAGGATTCTCCAAGGGGACAGAACCAATAGGATGGAGAGAAGGACAGAGAGAGGGAGGAAGGGAGGGAAGAAGACGTTAGAGGAATTGACCCACGCAATTTGGGAGGCTGAGAAGTCCCACAAGAGGCCATCTGTAATCTGGAGAAGCAAGGATCCTGCTAATGTGGCTTGGTCCATATCTGAAAGCCTCAGAACCATACAAGCCAGTGGTTTAACTTTCTGTTGGAGAATGAAGGCCCGAAAGCCCACGGGGCCACTGAAGGAAGCCCTGGAGACAAAAGCTGGATAACCTGAAGTTCTGATGTCCAAAAGCAGAAGAAGAAAGGTGTATGAGTGCAAGAATTCACTCTTCCTCTGCCTTTTTGTTCCATCTGGGTGGCCCCCAGTCAATGGGGTGGTGCCTGCCCACCTTGTGGGCAGATCTTCCTCAGTCAGCCAACTCACATGCCAGCTTCCTCCAGGAACATCCTCACAGATGTGCCCAGAAATAATGCTTTTCCAACTGTCTAGGTATCCCTTTATCCAGTCAAGTTGACATCTAAAATTAACCACATAAGGGTTGTCCCTTTTGTGGTATGTATGTTTCCTGCTTCCTTACCTGAGACAATTCAAAGGTCCCATTCAGGATTCTGAGTATCATTTTCGTTACAGTGGATATTGGTATTTTTGTTGTTTAGATCATGAAATATCTATTTTTAATCACTAAAATAATACCTCATTTGTTCATAAAACGAATTTATTCGTAAACATGTTTTAAAACATATGCTATACCATTAACATTAACATGTTCCTGCAGTTATTTACAGAAATTCTGTATTTGCTAAATATAAGGCTGTTTTCAAGATGCACTGACTATCGTTTCTGGTGTACTGGCATCATCATAATGTCTTGCTTGCCAAATAACTTTTTTCATTTACATGTATTTGAGATGGATAGACATTCATACTGCTTGTGGGGCAAAACTATTCCAAAGTAGAAGTACTTTAGACCCAGCGCTTGAAAATAAATCTTAAAGATCAAATGATATATTCTTTTTTTTTCAAAGTCCTTTTTGCCATGTAAAGAAAACAAATGATGTAGAAACAGTTGTTAACAGTTTTATTTGAAGCCATTTCCCTAATCCAGTGTTATCCATTACAGTGAATTTGAGGATTTAGAATTTTACATACAAAGCGGGGATTTTATTATGAACTAAATTCACAACACCTTTATTTCACAGTAGGAATGGAAATAGTTTTATGACACTATTAGAGGAAATGACTTGTAATTTTAGCCTTAATTAATTAATGTTATAACTTGTTTTGGTTACTTCCTTTAACCTTTTAATGTTGCTGTTTGTTGCAGATAAATGCAGTGTCACTCTATCTTCTTTACCTTGTGGAAATGATTTCCTCAGGACTCCAGATTATCTACAACACTGATGAGGTATGATTTCCCCAAATTTTCTACTACAAAATTTCACCTCTGAAAATAACTATTTTTTTTTTTTTTTAGTTTTCACATCTTATTTTTAGTTGCCAAAAAATGAATTCCTATTACATTTATATAATCAGATAATAGAGATTGGCTATTCAGTCAAAAAATCTTTGTATCTACAATACATCACACTTTGAAAATGAACACAATATATAATAAATTATAAAACTTGACTCCCATGAAGGCTCTATTTTAGGTCATCTAAAATAAAAACATGTAACTTTAAAAACATTTTAGTAACAATGAAAGCAAAATAGCATTTGCAGATTTTCTCAACTATTGTCTTTTTTAAATTAACATCATTGCATTTTGTAACTTACCCTTTCAAAAGTAAAGAGAAACTTTTATCCTATTATATTATATTATTTTTATTTGTATGATCTCAGTAGGGTTCTTCATGTTTTTCAAAAGACAAATACCATGTTCTTATTGTTATTAGGAAAATTGTGAAGAATTCATATCCCAAAGATGAGAAGCATTTTTTTCAGAGGCATTAATGCTTGAACAAACACAAAGGCACATGGGCTGACATACTTTGAAATGTGCCACAGTGGGAGCAAAAAGCTTTTATTATTTGGTACATGCAGTGAGAACTCTGTGAAAGAGTAGATATACTATATATGCTTGTTATTATTCCTTTCCTGTGATCCATACAGGGAGAACAATTCAATCATACACTCAACACCAAAATCATCATTGGGCTGTGCTGAGGGTGCTGTGAAATAGGTACATGTAGCCCTGCCCTCTAAGTTTATACTCTCATATACTTTTATGAGTTTATAATCTTACACAATAAATAAATTCTATTTAGAAGTGAAGATAAATAATGAAGAAATTATGATAGTAAGAAATTAAGAATAGCCATTATGGTTTCTTCTATTTGATTTATCAAAGAATTCTGTTTTCATTTTATCAAAATTGTTGTTGTTAGTTGTTAGTGTTTATAATATTGTGAAGTGGGATTATTCAAGCATTTGAGGTAGGGGAGGAGCTGGGAAACTCCTGTTTTAGACCAATCTTAAGGAGTATGCCAAAATATAAAACAAATAAAAGAGACATGACTCTGACTGAGAAGAGGAGGCCTTCCAGAACCAGCCCATTTAGCTTCTCATTTTTTTCACCAATAACATCTCCAAAGCACTGGGAGATATATCCCAGATCCCTGTGGAACATGGTATGATAACCATTTACAATTAGTGGAACTAATATTGCTTGCAAGTGCTTTCACTCTAATGTTACTGGAGGTAAAATGATAAGAGTTGAAATTGCCTTAGTTAGCAGTGGCTTTGTTTTGTTCTATATATATTTGAAACAGTGTATTACTCTCTCTGCCCAGGCTGGAGTGCAGTAACACCATCTCAGCTCATTGCAGCCTCAACTTCCTGGGCTCAGGTGATTATCCCACCTCAGTCTCCTCAGTAGCTGGGACTACAGATGCACACCACCATGCTCAGCTAATTTCTTTGGTATTTTTAGTAGAGGTAGATTTTACCATGTTGCCCAGGCACGTATTAAACTCCTGGGCTCAAGCATTCAGCCCACCTCAGCCTCCTAAAGTGCTGGGATTATAGGTGTGAGCCACTATACTCAGCCTTGTTTAGTAATTTACTTTTAACTTTGAAAGTTTGACTTTTTGCTTTCTCATATATGTCATAATTCATTTTATGCTTTTATTTCTCAACTGCCATTTTTCATGTATATTATATTGCTTTAATCTTTCCATTTGGTTTTATATGGCTTATGTATGCTTTAAAATTTTTGGATATTTCCTTTCTTTCTTAAACTACTTTTTAAAAAAATTTCTTATTTGTGTTTTTTCTTGGCCTTATGGTTTTTATTTACTATATGTGAAGTTTTTATGTAGCTAATTATCGGTAGACTTTAATATGTACACTTAAAAATCCTAGAGTAATAAAACACGTCATTTCTGCTCACCATCTTTATCCTTGAGATTCTATATAATGTGTTGGACCGTATGGAGAGTCTGTAAATGGACCTGCATAGAATCTTTCAGTGAATGAAATATCTTTCATCTAAAGATTTCAGAGAATTTAATTCTTTGAAATAAATTTCAAAGTCAAATTTAATTCTTTGACTTTGAAGCCTTTTCTTTTCTAACTGTATCTTAGGCTCTGGGTTGGCTAGTTCTTTAACCCTGTCACATCTTCAGTTTCTAGTTACATTCACATTTTAAGGCAATCTAAGAACCCAGGATGTCAGTGGGATTACCATTTATTTCCTTCTCTATTTACTATAAGATTTAAAATTTGCAATAATGCTTACTTTTCTTAGGATTGAAGAATTCAGGGTTTGGAAATATATGTATGCATGCACACACACACACATACATACACACACATATGTAATGGAATATAGGTACTGCATTGTCTGGACTTTAGGGTTTTTGAGAAGCCTTTCTTTTGCAGCTCATCGTATCTTTATGGTTTTTCTTGTTTTTATAAACTTCGAATCTATACTGTAGTTCCTCTGGGAGAGGGCTGTGGTCGTAAGGATCATGTGCATGCTTACAAAGGGCCTGTGAACCTACTGAGTGGCCATGCTTGTGGTGATGAACTTTGCTGGAGAATGTATTTCCTAAGGGCAGGAACAGTAGTGTATGCTAGTTTTCTAACATCTTTCATTACCCACACAGGTGTACCGTGTTTCCTTGGTATCAGTATTTCCTAGTGTCTATGCAAGTCTTGCTGTGTACATTGGTCATATTCATTTTTTATTAGAAATAAAAACTTTTGAAAAGACAAAAGTTCTGTAGTTCTGCCCTTGTACTGCTGTTTGCTTTCTTTAGAGAGAAACTCATCATATATGTTAAACTTAGACCTAAATATAAAGTTTACTAAGTCAGCCCTTCTGTCTACTAGTGGAGATAACTGATTTACATCTGTTGGAGGGGGGCAAAGTAATAAACTGCTACATGGCATTCCATGTCTCATTTCATGACATTCTCCATTAATAAATTTTCTAAAAGTAGATTCATAGAAATAAGAAGGAAATCATTTAGAAGTGGGTCCAGAGAAACTTACTTCATTTAATGTCAAAGTACCCCCTCAAATTTGTATATCAATGAAGTTTTGTTTTTTTGTTTAAGATACTTTTTTGTGTCTCTTATGGAAGTTGTTAAGTGCACATTTAGGTTGCAAACCTTATAATAAAAATTGTACACAAAACTGTAGGTGCTTGTTCAACATAAGACCTGTGGAAGTCTCCTTTATGGACTCATGTGTCATTTACTTTTTATTTTGCAAAGATGTTTTCTATCATATGACCTAGCAGCTCTTTTCAATTATATCGTGTTTCAGATTGGATGACACATGGAATTGCTCTCTTACTGTATTAGTCATCCTTTGCTGTGTTACAAACTACCTCAGAACTTAGTGGCTTAAAAGATTAAACATTTATTATTTCACAGTCCATGGGTCAGGAATATGGGAACAGCTAAGTTGGGCGGTGCTGGCTTGGGGTCTCTTATGAAGCTGCACTCAAGGTGTCAGCTGGATCTGCAGTCATCTGAGGGATTTACTGAGGCTGGAAGACTGGCTTCTGAGATAGCTCAGTCATATGGCTGTTGGCAGGAAGCCTCAATTTCTCCCCAGCTGTTATTAGCAAGATGCCTCTCCAACTGAGCTGCTTTGAGTGTCCTCACGACATGACAGGTGGCTTCCTCTTGAGCAAGGGATCCAAGCAAATAAGATAAAAAATACAGTGATTTTTATGACCCAGCTTCAGAAGTCACACTTACACAATGTCCTATTAATTACACAAGTCAGCCCTATTCATTGTAGGCAGGAATTACACAAAGGCTTAGAGATACTAGGATTAGGAATGACTGGGAGCCAGCCTGCTATTTTTAGGAGTGCTTTTTAGTTGGACTTTGTTAGAGATATTTTTTAAGATGGGATTTTTTTTCCTTGTATACTAAGACTTTTAAAGATAGGTATTTTTTTCTATTATTAATTTCTATTACTATTTACTAAATTGTTGTATACTTGTTTTCTCTTTAAAATACTAAATTATTTTCTGGCTTTTATTTATTATATGGAAGCGTTTTGTCATAGATTCTACCTTTTGGTAGGAGGTGGTTGTCAGGCTGAACTGGAAGCATTTCTGTCCCAAAAGTTGGAACAAGTAAATCTTTTCTGTAAGTAGTCTTCGAAGCATTATAGGGTATTCTTAGCTTCTGATTGTCATCAGTTTAGGCAGAGAAATGTTTAGTTGCTCAAAACTATTTATGGATGGTTTTCCTCTAAAAATAGAAGGATAACACTGTCCTTGTTTCTAAAATTATATGTAGCAATAGTAATAATGATTAACATTATATAGAACTTATGTGTTGTCATTATTCAAAGTGCTTTGCATATATAAAAACTCACTTAATCCTTACAGCAACTCTGTCAGGTAGGTACAGTTATTATCTTCATTTTACAGATGACCAAAATAATGCAGAGAGCCACCAAGTGGCTTATTCAGGGTCACGCACGTAATACATGGCAGGGCTGGGATTTAAACCAAGTACTCTCACTCAGGAGTTCATTTTCTACACTGACAGTGAGTGTTAGATCTCTGTTTAACCTGTACACATATGTGTCATGTGACAACGTCATCTTCAAGCCTGGAAGGCAGCCAAAGAGACCTAAGGCTCACAGGTTTATTCACGTATAGTTGTTTGTATTTGTTCATGCATCCTTGCATGGACCATACAATTATCTGATAAACATTTATTGAGTTTCTATAGTGGGCCAAACAGTGAGAATATAGAAATGAAAAACGAAATTAGTCTGTAACATCATACAGTCTGAATTATTGTGGGGAAAACAGGGAATGGGTGTTTTCAGTTTCTTGATAATATCCTTTGAAGCTCAAAGATTTTTTATTAATTTTGATTAAGTCCCACTTATCTACTTTTTGTTGTTGTTGCTTGTGCTTTAGATGTC